GGTAAAGGGGCACATATATATGGATAAAAATTAGACTATTGGTGGTGAGCACAATGCAGTCTATACAGAATATTGATAAATAATAATGTACACCTGAAATTTCACAATGTTATAAACCATTATGACCTCAATAAAATAATTTAAAAAAAGATAACTTTTTTGAAAATTCACCAAACTTTCTAAGTAACAAAAAAGTACTTAAAAGAGAGAGAGAAAGGGAAAAGAAAACAGATCGCATTCTAGAAGGAACACAAAATCCCTTAATCGGGGATTGGTTGAATCAACTATGATATGATGTAATACTATGCAGCTATAAAGAAAAATGAACAATCTCCAGCATATATTGTTCTGAAGGTATACACAGTTGTACAGGATGCTTGTTGTTATGCAAAGTACAAAACAATATGCAAAGTATGCTATGTATAAGAAAGGGAGGGAACCACAAAGATATATGTATTGCTCATATTAAAAAAAATGAGAAAATAAACACAAAATTAATCAAATGATTACCCTTAGTTAGGGTAGCCATACATTTGTTTGTCCAGAACAGCCCTAGTTAACACCTTTTGTATATCAATAGAAGTGGAGGCTACTGCTTTTCGAAAAGGCATCTTAATGGTACTGATTTCTGATATATAGGTAGACCCTGAACTATCTAGATGGAGGACAAGAAATGAGAAATGTTAGCTCCTGAACATAAAAATGTCAAATACTACTATCTCCATTTTAGAGAAGAAAAGTTTGTATATTATGCTTATCTGTGAAACTATTTCTCTTCCTAATTATCACTTAATTTTAAAAAACTTTATTCTTTCTCTGTATTGGTTTCCTCACCTGTAATATGACAATAATACAAGTATCTCTTTCTTAAAATTGTTCTAGGACTAAATAAGCTAATATAAGTAAAAGTTAAACGTGTGGGAAAGTTCCTAGCACATAGTAAGTATTACATCAGTGTTAGCTATTATTATTTTTCTAGTGGTCATTATCATTGACTTTTTAAAATGTTGTACTCTCTCTGACAACTAGTCTTTATTTTAGGAAGGGTGTGAGAGTGTGTGTGTGTGTGTATACGTGTTTCTATGTGTTTATTTTCTATTAGTTACCTAGAGGAAACCACAATACCACAGAGAGTAGGGAGCATAACTTCACATGATGTTGGAGCAGAGATAAGAAAAGACCAGGCATGGACTATTCTTCCAATTCCTTTACGGTTTTATTTTATTTTTATTTGGACTGAATTACTCTGCATTTTTGGAGGAACTCTTCTGGAGACTGCTGTGTCCCACACTTTTCCCTGGTCAGGAGAAGAGGAGAGATCCTTGAGGGAGAATAACTTTGGTGGGTAGAGGATAAGGTTTTCCTAAAGAAGATGGGGGCATTTACCCTGGGAAGTATGAAAAAAGGGGCTGCCTTTAGGTGCAGCAGAGAGGGAAAGGAGGGCAGGCTTCAAGACTTTAAAGCATGACTAGGAACTGGGTCCCGCCAGGTGGGTAATGCCAGTGAAGGATTTCCTACTTCATTTTCTTTGGACTCAGTCAATGGGCATATTTGCCATCCTGATCAAACTGTGACTTCCTTTAGGATAAGTTCCACTAGATGTCCTAAACCTTTAGAATACTCCCCTGCACGTCACCAGCCTTGGGTCAGGTTACTGGGATTACAGGCCTGGGCATGAAGAGAAAAGTCAGCCTTTTCTCCATCACTTTTCCCGTGAGGTCAGGAGGGCAAGTGCAACCCTGAGGAGCCAGGAAGCAAAGCAGCTCAATCACAGATTGTCAAAATGTATCTGGAGAGGATGATAGACGAGCATCCACTATCTAAAGTATATTAAAAGAAAATGAGCCTCGGGCCGGCCCCGTGGCTTAGCGGTTAAGTGCGCGCGCTCTGATGCTGGCGGCCCGGGTTCGGATCCCGGGAGTGCCCCGAGGCACCACTTCTCCGTCCAACGCAAGGCCGAGTCCCACGTACAGCAACTAGAAGGATGTGAACCTATGACGTACAACTATCTACTGGGGCTTTGGGGGGAAAAACTG